TACGTCATAAAATTTCCAACCAAAAATTTCATTTTTACAACCATTAAGACATGAGTAATTAATTTAGATTTCCAAAATAACGTCGTAGTCTCCAACGATTACATAACAAAAATAAAATAGTTTTCCCGAGTGTGTGTGTACGATCACGCTGGCGCCTTCCCACGGTCCTCACTCGCACCTGAAACACATAAGCAACAACTGTAAGCATAAAGCTTAGTGAGTTCCCAAAATACAACATACGCACATACGCCTTTCCAGGCCTTGACCTTCCGGTCCATGTATTTCAGGGGACTTCCATCCCGACTGGTAAACCTTCCGGTCCTACCCACATCAATTCTTACAGTCCATATGACCACGCCTTCCGGCCATATCAAACGTATCACACATATCACATATAGCAATTAACTTAATACACATAAAGCATATATTCCATATCATATTCAAACCTTCCGGTCACATAGTCAAAACCCTTCCGGGTACAGTATAGTGAGAAGACTCACCTCGTATGCCTCGCTAAGTTGCTACTCAAATCCTGGGATCACTCGGGCTTGAACCCTCGAGCTGAAATCCTCCTACGATATATATATAATTCTATAAATATTACTTGTACCACTAAGGCGGACCATTCAACCCAAGTCAACACCGGTTGACCTGGTCAGCAGTCTTTAGTTAATTAGGACTAGACTCGGCGAGTGCACAATAGTGACTCGGCGAGTCTACGCGTTTTTTACCAACTCTCAAGAATTTTCCCTTTTGACTCGTCGAGTACTCCCCTGACTCGACGAGTTCCACCTGGGCCTGAATCACAGGGTCACCGCGACTCAACTCGCCGAGTCTAAGGCCAACTCGGCGAGTCCCATCCTGACTCGGTCCACCTGTCAAAACCTTTCCAACTCTCTGCGACTCACTGAGTCGCCCACAACTCGGTCCAGTCTACACACAAGATGGTCTCAAGACAATCTTCAAGTGACTCGTCGAGTCTGTTCTTCAGACTCGGCGAGTCCATGCCATGCACCAGCTAAAACTGGCTCTTGCGGTCAGATCCGTTCCATAAATACATAGATCTGGCCTTCCCAAGCTTATTTGTCACGTAAAGTCTCAGTCTTGGTTGCCATGCAATGCATACAAGGCTTATTTTGAAGAAACAACCTTCAATATGGCAAGTATAACTTCTAACTCAAATGGATGGGCATAAAGCTTGTCATAAGGGGTCTCCTGGACCTGCTAAAGTCCAGATCTAGGTTCCATGTCTCCATGGGACCTCTCATACTTCTTATTCAAGCCAAGAAAGGCAAGAAGAAACCCTAGATTTGGCCCATCAACACAAAACACGAAGATTGGCTCAGAAAGTTACCTCAAGAAGACCCCTTGAAGAAATGGCAACAGATCTAAGCTCCCAACACTTCAAGCTTGCTCCTCTCCCTCCTTTCCTTGCACTAACACACAAAATGAAGAACAAGAGGCCTTCAAACACACACACAAGGGCTTACAGACGTATGGAGGCTCTTAGGGTTCAAGGTGGCCGCATATGAGGGCCATAAGGTCCTTTAAATAGAGCTTAGGGCCGGGAATTAGGGTTTCATAAACAGCACGGACTCGTCGAGTCCATCCCTTGGACTCGCCGAGTCCGGACGCAACCCCCGCTAAAAACCGCGACCCGACTCGACGAGTTTCAACCACCAACTCGCCGAGTCCCCTCACAGAATGCCAAAATATATAAAGAAATGAAGGTACCTGGGGATCCGGGCTTGTTACAAATCTCCCCCACTAGAATAAGACTTCCCCTCGAAGTCCCGCTTAGACAAAAAGTTCCGGATGCTGCTCCCGCGTCTCCCGCTCCGGCTCCCAAGTCATCTCTGATCCCTTCCGATGTTGCCACTGAACCAATACCAGGGGCACCTCTTTGTTTCTCAAAACCTTGATCTTCCGATCTCTGATGGCTACAGGTTTTTCTGCATAATTCAGACTTGCATCCACCTGAATATCTCCTAACGGAACCACCGCTGATTCGTCGGCTATACATTTCCGCAGCTGCGACACATGGAAAGTGTCGTGAATCTGTCCCAACTCTGCTGGCAAGTCTAAACGGTAGGGCTACCCGTCCCACCCTTGCAATCACACGAAAGGACCAATATACCGGGGCCCCAACTTGCCCCTCTTCCTGAATCGAATCACTCCTTTCCAAGGAGAGCTTCAGGAGTACGAGATCACCAACCTGGAACTCAAGCTCGGACCGTCGCCTTGTCTGCATAACTTTTCTGCCGGCTCTGAGCGGTCAGCAACCTCTGCCTGACCATCTGAATTTGCTCGGTCGTCTGAAGCACGATCTCCGTGCTACCCATAACCTGCTGTCCCACCTCACCCCAACAGATGGGGGTGCGACACCTCCGCCCATACAACAGCTCAAAGGGCGGCATACCAATGCTCGAATGATGGCTGTTGTTATACGAGAACTCTGCTAAAGGTAGATAGGTGTCCCAGCACCCTCCGAAGTCCAACACACATGCCCGAAGCATGTCCTCGAGGGTCTGAATGGTCCGCTCACTCTGGCCGTCTGTCTGAGGATGATATGCCGTACTGAAATGTAACCTAGTACCCAACTCTTCATGGAATTTCTTCCAGAACCTGGAAGTGAAACGCACGTCGCGGTCTGAAATAATCGAGATTGGCACCCCATGCGCGATACTACTTCCCTCACATATAACTCAGCCAACTTTTCCGCAGAAGAGCTCTCACTTATAGCTAGAAAATGAGCGCTCTTTGTTAGTCGATCCACGATTACCCAAATCGCATCGACTCCTCTCGCCGTTCGCGGTAACTTGGTAATGAAATCCATAGAGATTTGTTCCCACTTCCATTCGGGATCTCTAGCGGTTGCAGCTTTACCGTGCGGTCGCTGGTGTTCGGCCTTGACCTGCCGACAAGTCAAGCACCTCTCGACGAACCAAGCGACATCCCTTTTCATACATGGCCACCAATACTCCTTCTTGAGATCCAAATACATTTTCGTGGCACCAGGGTGAATCGAGAATTTCGATCGATGTGCTTCCTCCATCAAAATAGTGCGCGCACCGCCCACAACGGCACCCAAATCCGCCCCTGAAAAGTCATAAGCCCCCGACCATCCGTGATAAATCCTGGTACTTGACCTACCACCCGCTCCTTCTTCTGGTGTTCCGGCCTTGAAGCCTCCATCTGAGCCCCTCGAATAATATCCAGAATCGGGGTCAAAACCGTCAACCTCATACAAATGTCTCGGATCGGGGCGCTATCCGCCCTACGGCTCAAAGCGTCAGCTACCACATTAGCCTTGCCCGGGTGGTACAGGATCTCACAATCGTAATCCTTCACCACATCCAACCACCTCCTCTGACGCATATTCAGATTTGGCTGATCCATCAAGTATTTCAAGCTCTTATGGTCCGTGTAAATCGTACACCGAACCCCGTACAAATAGTGTCGCCAGATTTTGAGGGCAAACACCACCGCCCCCAATTCCAGGTCGGCGTGGGATATCTCGACTCATGAGGCTTCAACTGCCTCGAAGCGTACGCTATCACATAATGACCCCTCTGCATAAGCACCGCCCCCAAGCCCGATATAGAGGCATCACAATATACCACAAAGTCCTCCATCCCTTCCGGGAGTGCAAGCACTGGAGCCTCGCACAATTTCTGACGAAGCGTCTCAAACGAGGACTGCTGCTCTGGTCCCCATGAAAACGCAACACCCTTCCGGGTCATCCTAATAAGTGGCACAGCGATCTTAGAGAAATCCTTGATAAATCTGCGGTAATATCCAGCCAAACCCAGAAAACTCCTGATTTCGGTGGGCGATCTCGGCACCTCCCACCTCAACACCGCCTCAATCTTGGCCGGGTCGACCAATATCCCCTTCTGGTTCACAAGATGCCCGAGGAATTGGACCTCTCGCAACCAGAAATCACACTTGGAGAACTTGGCATACAGCCTCTCCGATCTCAAAACCGAAGAATCTCCCGCAAATGCTCCTCATGCTGGTCCCTAGTCCTCGAATATACCAAAATATCATCGATGAATACGATCACCGACCGATCCAGCATCGGTCGGCACACCCTGTTCATGAGATCCATGAATGCAGCCGGGGCATTGGTGAGCCCAAAAGGCATCACTACAAACTCATAATGCCCATAACGAGTCCTGAAGGCAGTCTTTTGGATATCCTCTTCGCGAACCCTCATCTGATGATATCCCGACCTCAAGTCAATCTTGGAAAACCAAGATGCCCCCTGCAACTGATCGAATAGATCGTCGATCCTAGGTAACGGGTACCGGTTCTTAATCGTCAACTTGTTTAACTCCCGATTCGATACACATCCGATGTGAACCATCCTTCTTTTTGACGAACAAAATCGGCGCTCC